TCTAAAAAAATCCAGTGACCAATGGTAGCTTAAACAAAGTATAATGACTAAAATACAACATCTAGAACGTTCAATGACTAATTATAATCTTGATAATGTCGTTCGATTTTATATACCTGCTATCCCCGGTTAGAGTGACCAAAATGAACAAAATAAACAAGTTTAATTAACAATGATAGCTTAAACAATGTATAATGACCAAAATAAAACACTCAAAAAGTTCAGTGACTAAAAATGACCTAAACCCTAAAAGTTTGGGCTGCTTTTAACCAGTTATATATCAGACATTAGCTATTTCAAATCAATTCAAATCACGTGTAAATGGGTTAAAATTGGCTTCTAATGGGGTCTTTAGGAGTGCTTATTGAATGATAAACATTCTTTAACTTTTTAGCTTATTATTGGCTTCTAATGGGTTAAAATTGGCTTCTAATGGGGTGCTTATCAAAATAAAGTTTCTAAAAAAATGTTTAAGAGTTTTTGACAAGTTAGAGAGTAGTAACTTATCAAAAATGAATTTTCTCCGATGAGGGACAACTATAAGTTGCTTTTAAAAAACTTATATCCAAAACTCATTTTAACTTATACCGATATGAAACATATAATAAATTAATACACTCTTTTTTAAGTTTATATGTTCACAAATTGTCCAAATTGTCTATATAAGAACCTATAATAAGTTAATAACCATATATATGAATATTACATGATTTTAGGCTTTGAAAATAGTACACACAAGTCTATATGTTCACAAATTGTCCAAATTGTCTATATAAGAAGTTATGGTGTCATGGAAATATTCATAAAATCTCCACTTGCATTGCATCTTGTATTTAATAAATCTTATTCTTCAAAATGTCTACAAACTCCCCTGATAATGGTAAAGGGTCCATGCATAAGATATCTGATTCAAGTATAGAGGCTTTTGGTAAACAATTTCCATCGATGATTTCTGATTGGATGCAAGATTTTATGCATAATTGTGAAATAAAAAACCATGATGTAATACAAACATGTGGTGTACATTAGATTAGAAAAATGATACAAGCTGTAACACCTGTTTTCTAGAATATGAAACATCTTATTTTCCAGGTATTCCATTTATGCCCTTGGTGTGTAATTTGATTGCAATTTGGTCCCTTGTAGTATTTTTAGATGAAGTGTGTTTTCATCACGTACGTTGGGCGTACGTGGATTGGACCAAAACCCTAATATTTAGGGTTTGTGCACTATTTAAACACCCTTATAGCCCCAAACCCTTTCTTTCATCAGCCTCCACCCCTTATATCGACCCTTGCAAACCCTAATCCATTTTTGAGCATATTTGAGCCTTGAGTGTGTATTTTGGTGATCTTGAAGGAGGAATAAGGAAGCGGAGACCATCTTAAAAGAGTGAAGCACTTTGGATCCAGAAACATATCACCATTTTGCACCATTTGAAGGTAAAAAGCTCTGATATTGATAAAGTTTTACTTAGATCTTGTCTAGCCATGGATTGTGTTCATTTTGGTCCCATAATCTTGATGTATCTGAGTATGGGTTACTCTAATTCATTTGAGTTGTCCTTTCATATGTTTTGGAGTGTTTAGAATCATAAAAATGTAATCTTGGTCCCTAGTTTTCCTCCATGCATGGAGTAGGATATCTTAATGAGTTAAGAAGTTAGGGTTTTTGATATTGAGCACTTAATAGCCATGCAAGATCATAAAGTTGGAAACTTTATGAATAAGGACATCATTTGAGGACTAGATCTAGATTTTAGACAAAAGGGGTTAATGTATTAAGCTCTTATTAGAAAGAAGGGTGGCAGACGCGTACGCTGCGCGTACGTGGTCAACTCCCTGATTTTTGGTCAATTCATAGTACACCGTGCGTACGAGTTGAGTATGCCCAACGTATTCAACTGAGTTGACCCGGTTGACTCGGTTGACTTTTGACTTTGACCAGGATTTGACTAAGTTTGACCTAGTGGTATTTTGGGTATTTTGAGTTGTAGTCTGAGTATTGGTCACTGTTATATGTAAAGGTGACCGGTAGAGTCGGTATTCGGAGCAACGTGTTGTTGCTGCTATTTCGTTTGTCCGTGAGGTGAGTCTCCTCATTATATCCATGGGTCGAAGGCATCAATTCCAACCCATTATTCACTTATGTAGAATGCTAGTTGTTGTTTGATATATATGTTTGTGTGATTGGGTTGAAATATACCCCAGGTTGGGGCCCACTATTGCATGTTCAAGTTGAAATATTGAAACACTCCAAAAATCATAAAAGTTTAAAATTTTCAAAAAACAACCCATTTCATCAATAAAGTGTTTACAAATCCATTATTTCAAAAGTATTATCCGAAGTCAGAGTCATGGCCGGTCCTAAGGATTCAAATGTTCGGGACGAGCCGGGAAAAAAAACACTTAGACCCTAACGTGTAACGAATTAAATTATATAAACTATTTTTTTAAACGACGATAAACTTTATCAATTTTTCCCAAAAAGGACATACCATTGTCTTAGACTACTGTTAAATATAAGTTCCATAACAACAGGGTGGTTACAGTTCAATGAGTTACCTGCCCATTCCACATCAAAGGTGAAGGTCAATTTCGTAAACTGGAAATATACTACCACACAAATATTTTATTTTTATTTTTTCAGCTCTTTATTATTTATTAGATCATTTCATTGTTTGTCTTCAAGGAACTGATAAATGAAGAAGAGGAAGATGAAGTTACCATAACCTGAGAAGTTCAATAATTTTCCATTACCATCCAACATGTAATATACCTGTAATAAGTAAACTATTACACAACAACATTAATAAAACATAATTTTGGCTTTATAGAAATCAACTTCAAATGAAGAATGATATGCTTATGCAATCAGGTTCAAATGATATTATGGACAAGCCTTGAAAATTCTCATATAATACAAAGATAATTCATGTTTCATGGTTAGTTGGTTACGTGTTCCTTTGAATTTGGAATGCATAACAAATGTTACAAAAAGATGGAAAACCCAAATCCTCTAGGCAAAATAAACTAATTATGATATTAGAAACTTAAATATTATGTTAAGGATGTAATACCTTGTTGTTATACCACATAATGATGTGGTATAAGGGTATTATCATCAGCTTCATTTGTATGGTTGTAAACAACATCCAAGATTACCTGTAAGGTTGAAATTCCCAAATAATTTACAAAGTTTACTTAAAACACTAATGACCTAATTAAATATATAATCAAGCTTCATTACAAAAAAAGTCAAAAACCTCGATTCCTGTGAGGTGCAAATCTTTAACCATTTATTTGAACTCTAAGCAAGCACCGATAGGACGTCCTCCACCAATACTCGCATAACAGTATACACCTCGTTGATGAACATCTGAACAAAACTAAAATAACCATCTTACCCTTACATTCCAAAACACAAATTTCTGATAAAATAAATACTAGAATAATCGATTACCTGATTAGCAAGACTCAGGAGGGGATGAAAACGACCGGTAATTGAGAGATTAATCGACCATGTCGACTGTCTTCCCTTCTGCCGACTATCATCTCCTTTGCATTTGGGCCTGGTTCATGAATATAGTATTAAAAAAATTGGCCCCTGAAAAAAATGGGCCCTGTTCATATGCCCATCTTGCCCATTCTTATGATCGACCTTGGTCAAAGTTTTCCCAAGACCCAATAACATAAAAACCGGAAGATGTGCACGATCACGCCTTCGCCTTGCCACAATCATCTGAAATACCTGAAACAATAAACTGAAACTGTAAGCCAAAGCTTAGTGAGTTCCCCTAAAGTACCACCTCATAACACATAACATATACAAATCAGCATGCTGGGTCCACAACCTCCCGGTTGGAATACCCTGGCCCACAACCTCCCGGTTGGATTGCCCTGCATATCACGTACTGGGTCCACAACCTCCTGGTTGGATTACCATGGCCCACAACCTCCCAGAGTGAATACCCTGGCCCACAACCTCCCGGTGGGTTTTCCTTGCATATCGCGTACTAGGTCCACAACCTCCCGATTGGATTACCTAGGCCTACAACCTCCCGGTTGGAATACCCTGGCCCACAACCTCCCGGTTGGATTGCCCTGCATATCACATACTGGGTCCACAACCTCCCGGTTGGATTACCCTGGCCCATAACCTCCCGGTTGGAATGTCGTGGCCCACAACCTCCCGGTTGGATTGTACACGGTCTGCTGATTGATAGCACAAAGCAGTAGTCTCAACCCCAACATAACATGTCGACATATAACAGATAACATACGTATTCAGTGGACAGATAATCATACAACCAGTAATCACACGTAGACCTGGCAATTTCATACACGACACGATCTACACGACACGAACACGATACGAGTTTTCCGTGTATGTGTTTTAGAAATTCGTGTTTCGTGTTTATTTGTGTCTGACACGTATTTTAAACTCGTGTTTCGTGTCTTACACGTGTCAAACACGAATTTACCTGTTTAGACACGTATAAGACACGATACAAATTCGTGTTGACACGTGACACGTATAAACACATATAAACATGTATAAACACATATATATTTTAGGGTAAAATTTTATATTTATAAAGTACTAGGGACTGATTGCGTAAAAGTTAATATATAGTTTATAACCCTAAATTGAATCCTAAATTGAATCGTTTCCAAAATCGCCGACATCTATGATCTATCTCAATTTCGTTTGTCGACTATTCGACTCATTTATCTGAGTTCTTCATCTCACGCGAATCAGGATCATCGGACATATACAGATCGTCGCTCGCCATCTATCACGATCATCGAACGAGTCGTCCCACATCTTCGTGCTTCACAGCTTTCACTGCTTCTCCAATCTCCGGTCCTTCAGCCTCTCACCGAGTCGTCACTCGCCATTGGTGCTTCTGAAGTGAAATCGAAGCTGCTCACTGATTCTCGACTTCTCGTCAGTCGCCACGGTCTCTCAATTCCGTCACCATAGCTTCTTCTGAGTTTATGGCTTCTAATACAAACATGGTATATAATCTGTTCCTTTGTGATTTTCTGTTTATTTTTTTGTTTCCTTTGAATCTTTGATCACAGGTTCACAGCCCCTCCTGCGATTTTTCTATTTATTTTTTTGTCTCCTTTGATCACGTATTGACTATTTAAACTGTTAATTGTTAAGACCATAGGATGTTAACTCTTAACTGTTAAGACCATAGGATGTTAACTGTTAAGAACTGTGGATGTTAAGACCATAAGATGGTTGGCTGTTTGTAACTCTTTTAGGCATGGTATATAATCTTTTCCTTTGTAGGCTTTTGTTTCTAGTTGACTCAGAGTCTCAAACTGGAAGACAAGGCCCCTATAAATCTGTTTGTAACTCTTTTAGGCATGGTTGGCTGTTTTGTTTCCTTTATCATTTTGTCTAATTCTTGTTTTTTTTAGATGGATGACAATACTAACAATGATACTAAGGATGATTCAAATGATGATTGTGTGGAGGTAAAGAAGGAGGGAGAAGACAATCAGAAAATGAAAGGAACCCGTAAGAGGGAGAAGAAACAAACCTCACCGGTATGACATGTATTCGAGTTATTAAATGATGTTGTCACAAAAGATGGAATTAAGAGAGCAAAATGCAGATGGTGTGATGAGGTGAAGAAGTATGACAGTAGATATGGGACCGGGAACTTACAACGACATATAAATAAATGTTATAGGCCGGATAAGCTTATTGTAGGTCAAATGTTATTGGGGAAGGATAAAGATTCTTTGATGTTGAAGTCCTCAAAATTCAGCAAAGATATATTTCGTGAGAAGTTAGTAAGAGCAATTATCATGCACAACTTACCATTATCATTTGTGGACTATAGTGGTATTAAAGAATTGTTTGAATATGTGTCGGAAGATTTGAATTTAATATGTCGAAACACTGTGAGATCTGATATTGTGAATATGCACAAGAAAGAAACGAACAAGTTAAAATCGTTTCTAAAGGAAGCACCGGGCCGTATTTGCTTAACTTCTGATTTGTGGATTTCTATTACTACTGATGGGTACATTAGCCTTACAGCTCATTTCATTTATGAAAATTGGATTTTGCAGAAAAGATTGTTGAATTTTTCTGATATGCCACCTCCCCACAATGGAATTTCATTGAGTGAAAAAGTTTACTCTATGCTTGCGGATTGGGGAATAGAAGGTAAGTTGTTTTCCATAACATTAGACAATGCTTCCGTGAATGACACTTTTGTTAATATCTTGAAGTTGCAATTGAATGTTAGGAAAGCACTTATTAAAGATGGTCAATTTTTTCATATAATATGTTGTGCTCACATTCTAAATTTGATAGTTCAAGATGGGTTGAAAGAGATTGATGGTTGTGTTTCTAAAGTAAGAGAAAGTGTGAAGTATGTCAAAGCATCTCAAGCTCGCAAACGACAATTTGTGGATTGTGTGAAGTTAGTTAGTTTGGATCCAAAACGGGGGTTAAGACAAGATGTTCCAACAAGGTGGAATTCCACATATCTCATGCTTCGAAGTGCACTTTACTTTCGTACGGCCTTTACTCATTTGGAAGCAAGTGATTCAAATTATAGATTTTGTCCAACTAATGACGAGTGGGATAGGATTGAAGCCCTTAGCAAATTTTTATGTAGTTTCTATGACATTACTTGTGTATTTTCTGGGTCAAAATATCCTACATCTAACTTGTATTTTCCTTCAGTTTTAATGGCCCGTTTGACCTTGGAGAAACATAGGGACAGTAATGATGCAAGACTTAAAAAAATGGCTGATTTGATGTTTGCAAAGTTTGAGAAATATTGGTCCGAGTTTAGCTTGATTTTGGCTCTAGCTGTGGTTTTTGATCCTCAATACAAGTTGCAAACTGTGGAATGGGGCTACACTAAGATTTATGGAGAGAAATCAAGTCAATTTGAAGAAGTGAAAGATACTTTATCATCTCTTTTTGATATTTATTGTAGTAATTCTGCAATGAGAAACAATAATGGCTCAACTTTGAATAATGTGAATGAGTCTAACGAAAGCTTGGATGAAATTGGTAGCGGTATAAATGTCAATGAAGCTTGGAAGGTACAACTTTTTGTTTAATATTTATTTTACATTCAATAATTTATTCGTCAAATGAAAACCGAAAAGTTGAAATCTGAAAACCGAAAGCTGATATCTGAAAAATGAAAACTGTTTTGTTTTTAGTATGAAAAATAAAAACTGTTTTTTTTATTATGAAAAATAAAAACTGATTTTTTTATTATGAAAAATGAAAACTGTTTTTTTTTATGAAAAATGAAAACTATTTTTTATTATAAAAAATGAAAACTGATTTTTTTTATTATGAAAAATGAAAACTGGAAAATTAAAACTGTTTTTTTTTATTATTTTTTATCATAGTTATTCAAGATTTTTAATGTTCTCACTTCTCATTTTACTAATAGGAGTTCGACTCGTTTGATTACGAGTATGTTGTTTCAACTAAAAAGTCCGAACTTGACTTATATTTGGAGGAGCCCCGGATGCCAAGAACAACAGAGATAAATATTTTGGAATATTGGAGAGGACATCATGTTCGATATCCCGATCTTACCGCTATGGCACGAAATATATTGACTATTCCCGTTTCCACTGTAGCTTCCGAGTCTGCATTTAGTGTTGGAGGTAAAGTTCTTGATCAATATCGAAGCTCCCTCAAATCCGATGTTACGGAAGCAATTATTTGTACCAAAGATTGGTTATTCGGAGAAGCTAATTATAATGTTGGTGATGTGGTGAATGAAGTTGTCAGTTTGGATGTCAATGAGGAGCCTAATTCGGTTAAAAGTTCAACCTCTTACACGGTTGATAGTTAGTAATTTACTTGTTTTAAAATATTTTGGGATTGTAATTTTGAGTTTGAACTTTGTACTTTGGATTAAGATTATTTGCATGTTATTGTCATCCTAGCTTAAAAAATGCATTAAAAGCGTGTTTATTCGTGTTTTCGTGTAACACGGTTAAAAAACGTGTATATTCGTGTCGTGTCACGTGTCACACGAATTTTTTATGTGTCGTGTTCGTGCTTGGTATCCCAAACACGTTTTATAATTCGTGTCGTGTTCGTGTTTACCAAATTCGTGTCGTGTAAATTCGTGTCTGACACGAATACACGACACGCAGACACGAATTTCCAGGTCTAATCACACGTAGTCCTACAGACCTACCAGTCTAACGCGTATCAGCAACTATCAGATAATCATAAAAGTCTATCGCCTACTCACGCATCATCAATCAGTATATAACATAATATCAATCCATTGGGTCGGCCTTGGTGCCTTTGATCCATAAGTACAGTGATGAAAACTCATTTCTCAGTCTAAAATGATCGCTGAACAGGACTCATCTCTGAAAGTCAGTGCAACTGGTCACCTATACACCAATTAATGACCAATCTCAATTACCACTCAAAATACCTAAAACACCCTTAGGTCAAACTTGGTCAAAATAAAAAATTCCACCTACAGCTGACCGCCACGTCGTGGTCATCTTTGACCATGTCATGGTGTCGATACGACAAAATAGTCGTGAACAACCTAACCGCCACGTCGTGGTGACCTTTACCATGTCGTGGTCACTGGGTTTTCAACAACTTAATGAATTCAGATGTTTTCCTTCGATTCCAAGGATTCTCCAACTCAGATCTGGTCCATTTTAGGGTCTAGATGGATAAAGTTTCCAACTTTATCCCTTAGAACCCTCTAAGGCTCATAGATCTCAACTTTATGGTCCAAAACACCACATGGCTTAAGCAATAAGCACTTAATCTATAAGGTCACTTGTCCAACAACTCCAGAAGAGTTTTTGACACCATTCTCATTATAAAAATCTGTGATTTTCAGACATGCATGTCCAACGCATGTCTTAAAATCTTATTAGGTCAAAATAGGGGGAAAAGGGCCAAGATCCATGCATGGTCTCAAAGCTCAATCCTAGCCTAGATCCAAAGCACCAAATACTCCCAAAGGCCTAGAGATCCATAACGTCACAACTTTATGAGATCAAACCACCCAAGACAACAAGACATAGAAAATGGTGGACACTATCTAGAGATCTATCATTCAACTCATCAAGATGAAAGCTTTATACCTCTTGGAGATATTTGAGGAAGACAAACTTCTGGATCTACGTTGCTTTGAACTCCCAATATGATATACCACCACCTTCTTTCTTCAAAAGCACCAAAATCACACACTTTAGGCTAAGAAAGCTCATACAAGAGGTTTAGGGTTTGCAAGGGACGATTATGAGGGATGAAGGCTGATGAGAGGGAGGCTTCAAGAGGTTAAGGTTGTTTAAATAGGGCTCAAACCCTTAAACTTTAGGGTTTTCTCCAACAGCGGTCACCACGTCGCGACGGTCCATTTAATCCTCGCGGCCCATAAGCTATTGCCACGTCATGGTGAGGCTCCACCACGACGTGGTGCTACCCAAAACCCAAAATATACAATTACACAAATACTTTAGACTAAAGTACCTCCAAGGATCCGGATGTTACAATTCTCCCCCATTTGAATTAGACCTCGTCCTCGAAGTCCGCTGATGCAAACAACTCCGGGTAATGCTCCCGCATCTCAGACGCGGGTTCCTATGTCCATTCAGAACCCTTCCGATGCTGCCACTGAACTTTGACTAAACACACCACCTTGTTGTGCAAGGCCTTCATCTTCTGGTCCAAAATCGCCACTAGCCTGTCAATATAGTTCGAGCGATCATCAATCTGAACATCCTCCAAAGGAACGACCGCTGAACCATCAACCACACATACCTACAAAGTTGCAAAACGTGGAAAGTGTTGTGGATCTGGCTGATCCCCTCAGGAAAATCCAACCTGTAAGCTACCTTTCCAACTTTGACAACCACTCGAAATGGTCTAATATAATGATAACTTGAAGTTACTCAATCGCAACGAATATCTTTCTTTCTCTAACGGAAGACTCAACTACCAGAGAAAACCAAACAACCGCTGAATCCTCGAACTAGACTTACAACTAACTCCATCAATATACTTCCGGGAACCAAAACCCCTCAGTTCCAAACTTCAGAACCATACTCTAAGACTGGCGATCATCTGTTCGTCGTACCTACCCCTATTCCCTGACTAGGAACACCATCAAAACATACAGAAAGAATACTCTACATATAAATGCGACGACACGACCTATACGAAAGTTATACTAGACTAACCCAAGCACTCATTCGGCTCAATATTCATGTCATCCGCTGGCCACACTCGAGTCTACCCTCGATTCGCTTATCCCATAACCACGCTTGGGCTTACCGCCAATCATAGTATAGTGAGAAAACTCACCTCAAAGTCAAATCAGACAAACACCACAACTTGCATGAATATAAAGGCCGGTACTACCAACCACCTAAACATTAAGTAAAAGTTCAAATCTTAGTCTATGACCTAAAACCCTAAAGTTTGACCAAAATTCAAATTGGTCAAAAGCCAAGGTCAACGGTTGACCCACCGCGCCGTGGTAGCTAGATAACAAAACAGACACGAGCAAACCCCGATGTCGCGCTACGGCCACCCACTCACCATGCTGTGGTGAGCATCCAAAATAGCTTAATGTATTGTGCACTTAACCCTGAATCTCTAAATTTATCCATTCCTATGGCTCAGACTTACCCAAACCTCAAACCTAACTCTCTAGAGGGTGAAAACACAAGTATGGACCCAAAAGAAAGCATGCAAACACATCTTTCTCATATTACTCCATTCCAAAAGTCACAAATGTCACTTATAAGGTTCTGGAGTCACTCAACTCCAAGATCAATAAGGAAAGGACTCAAAAATCCACAAATGATGTCAAAGCATAGATCTAGTTAAACAAAGACCAAGGTTAAAGTTGTATACCTCATATGACTTTGAAATTTGAAGTAGATGTTGGATATAGGTTGGGTTTTTGCTTCCTTACACCAAAAGGGTGTTCCTTCTTCTTTAAGCTTCATCAAAACAAGAACAATAGGTCTAGAACCATGTAAAGGGGCTAGGGTTTAGAAGAGTGACGTACTCAGAGAAAGGGGGCTGCCAAACGAGGAAACTCTAGAAGTTATCGCCCTTAAATAGGGCTCAAGACCTGAAGCATAAGGTTTTGAACCCCGCCGCCACCACGCCATGGTCCGGTCCTTACCGCACCGTGGTGCGACAAAAATCCGAAAACTTCCACTTAGAAAAATAAAAGACTTATACATGGAATATGGATGTTATAGGGATCAAGGCCTCGGTTCTAGGGCTACGGTCCAAGACTACATGGGCTATTGTATTTTAAGTTCTTGTCATGAAAAAAATCTTGAAAAAGTATTCATTATCACCCTAAACAAACTTTAAACAATATACTTAAGTTTTATGCGTATTTCTTCCAATTCATCATTTAAATACAAAACAAAATGAGTAAAATATCCATAAAATGAAGACTTTAAGACATTCAATACAATTCCAACCTCCCACCACATAGTTGAACTATAGTCCAATACCATAAGGGATATTATCTAGTGATATGGGATTAGGTAGTGTCCAATTCAAGCTCCCAAATGGTTCATAACTGTCATAACTGTTGGAAATAGGTGTCCAATATCATAACTAATTGATGTAACTTTGGGTATAGTAGCAAAGTCATTTTTGGGTTGCCCTCAAGAGAAAGAGTAGCAAGAAATATTTTTAGGATATTGAGTAGATACTTTATTATTTATTACATGTTAATAAATTAATTAGAAACTAGTTAAAATTAATTAGAATTAATTTGGGGTTAATTGGAATTAATTTAGATGTACAGGGACTGAATGGAAATTGTTTAATAGTTGAACAAAAGGAACATTCTAGAGCTCCCTTAGGGGTGGACGGTTTCTAGACCTCCAAGAATGTTTCCAAGTAATAGATAAGGAAATGATTTGAATCTGGATAAATCTTAATATTTAAGTGATTCAAATTAGGGTTATCTGGAAAATACCATAACTATATAAACGACCTCCATGGACTTATAATTTCAGCCATATTACTCTCCACAAGGTTGAAAAAACGATTTCTCACCTCACTCATATATCTCTCCTTAAGTTTATAGGGTTCTTGACTTTTGGGTGTGAACCATTAAAGGTACTCTACTTTGGGTACTAGTCTTTCTAAGAAGCCATAAGAAGATCAAGACACAAGAGACATATCAAATTTATTTAAGGTTAGTATTCGAATCCCTCTCCCTTTATTTTCTTAGGTTAGTTTCAAAAGTATGTTGCTATAATAGTAAAACTTAGTTCCTAGGGTGCATGTACACATAGGATGATTTTTGATTGTTTCCGCTGCCTTAAGTTAGTGTATAGTTGCATAGAAAACCCAATAATAAAATCCTAACACATATTCCTAAGGTCTATTTCTCCAATCATGAACAAAATTCTTTAAAATATTCATCATCATCTTGAACTCACTTTAAAAAATATGTTTTGGTTTCATTTGCGTTTCTTATAGTTTATAACTCAAGTAAACTGGCATGACACTTTAAGTAAAAACTACATCAAGAAAATTTCATCATACCACACCTTTCTCGCTATATTAAGGTGAATAGGAATGTAGGTTCCTTGATTGACATCATTTAACAATAAACAAAGAACATAGAAGAATTAACACACAAGTTTTCACTAAGAATATGTTCTCACCAAGAGAACATGCACAAAGCTCTAGGGTTCGATGAGCAACCAATGATCAGAACCTTAATATATAAAGAAAAGTAAATACGATGTGAATACCTACAAATCAGGGATATCACATAATCTATGATAATAATAAAGTATATCCAATATCACTAAGATATCGAAT